ATTTAGAGCATTTGCTACCATCCTTATCCCAGCCTAAACAATGGGTGCTTCCATGCAGAAAGGCCCCTCCTTCCAAAAGAAACAAATAGGACTTTGAAGACAAGTTATATATTCATGGAGATTAAAATTAGAAGAGTATGGGGCTGGTGAGATGGCTCAGTGGTCTAAAGCACCTACTTAGAACAAGCTTAGCAAAGCATAGGGACTGCGGTTCAATCCCCAGCACCACATGCCCGCCAGTCCTGCCCCCTGGTGGGCTGAGCTGCCCCCCCACACATAAATAAATAAATAAATAAATAAAATTTAAAAAAAATAAAATAAATTAGAAGAGTACAAAGAATATCCAGAAAAATTTACTTTGCCTACCCAGAGCCTGGGTTACTATTCTCTTAGGTATTCTGGAAGTATTGTGGACTTGGCTTTTTAACTCACCCAGGTATAGTTCCAGCACAGGAAGATGGGAGGGGAAGAAGTCAGTATTAATGCTGATTTTGTTTAAGAAAAACGTGGTAGATCATGCGCCGGGCAGAGTCTCAATTCCTGGGCCTTTGAGAATCTGCAGCTTTTCCAGGGTATTATTTTTCATACCTTCCTTAATGAAGTGATTTGGTTGATTTCTCTAGGTTGTATTTGTTTTGTTGTGTTTTATTTATTTATTTATTTATTTATTTATTTATTTATTTATTTATTTGAGACAAGGTCTTGCTGTGTAGCTCAGAGTGGCCTGGAACTCACTGTATAACCCAGACTGCCCTCAAATTTGCAGCAACCCTCCTGCCTCAGCTCTCAAGAGCTACGATTACAGGCATGCGCCACCATGCCTGGCTCATGGATTGCATTCGGGAAGACTCCAGATGCACTGACGGAGAGTGCAGGGAGGCTCCTCACAGAACTCTTCCTTCGCCCCTCTCAGAGCTAGACAAGCCCCTAGAGCCTAGCACAGTGTGATGCTTAGATTGGGAGCTCAGTCTAATTGTGGAATAAACTAGCGCTGGAGGGAAAGGTTTGGGTCCTAGATGGTGGCACAGGAGAGGGACCTGGCTACAGAATGCTGTCTTGTTCCAGGAGGCCACCAAGAACTACAAGACTGTCTAGGTGACAGCCAGTTGGCTGGTAGGACTCTGGGGGTGTGGGGCTGGGGAGCGCTGATGGGTCAACCATTTCTGATCAGCACCTTCGTCCTACAGCTCGAGATAAAGAACCATGCCTTCTTCAGCCCCATAAACTGGGATGACTTATACCACAAGAGGCTGACTCCCCCCTTCAATCCAAATGTGGTGAGAAGCCCTATAATTTTAGTGTTCGATTCTGGATTCCCAAGGCTGGGGGGAGCTTGGAGGGAATCTGGACCAACTCTCTCTGCAAGAGGGGAAACTGGATTAAGAGTCTCCATGCTTTGTCCATGGCCCAAGTCAGAGGCTGACTCAGCCCTGAGGAATGAATCATCCTGCCACTCCTTCCCTCATCTTTAACACCATAACCCTGTGGCTTTTACAGAGCTGTGTCACTTGACACTCCCAGGCAGAGCCACCTCCTATAGATATTTTCAGCCCTTTTCCTGATAATAAAATAACATTTGTACCTTGTATAAAGTGTGTAAACCAGAGAGGTTTAAAGCAACAATGAGGAAGTGTTTAGTATCTCATTACCTAAGGGAAACCACTTGGCGACTTCCTTTCAGTCATCTATCCATCCACAGCTGTGGCCTGGTATCAGTAGGATGCTCCACTCCCTTATATCAAATGGCATAATATTTGCATACAACCTATATCTTCCTATATATTTTAAATCACCTCTAGATTACTTCATAGCCCTTCCTTCCTTCCCTCCTTTCTTCCTCCCTCACTTCTTATTTCTGTTTCTTCCCCTCCCCTATTAATCCCAGAGGAAATGAACCAAGGGCCTTCACGCTGACCTCTTTCCCCAGACCTTATAGTTTTACTTGTCCATGTGTCTTTGAGCACCAGAAGCACCCACCACCACCCCCTTTTCGTTGTTGCAGTACATACTGGGGACTGAACCCGGGGAATACTAATTGCATTTTTTGCTTTTTAGTTTTATTTTTGAGATGGGGTCTTGCTAAGTCACCCAGGCTGACCTCAAACTTGTGATCCTCCTCCCCCAGACTCTGGAGTAGCTGGGATTCCAGGAATGTGGCACAGAGCTCTGTGGAGCCCCAGAGTCCTGAAGACAGTTGGCAGACAGCATGTTTTCCATCCAGACATCTGAAAAGTTTCTTCTCCTGACATTTCATTGTATTTTACTTTGTGGTGCTGAGGATCAATCTGAGGGGCTTCCAAGTGCTGCACAAGCACCCTACCACCGAGCCATGTTCCAGCCCTTTTTCCTTGGGAATTTAAAAGACAGTGAGGATAATGTCAAACATACAACCTAGAGAAAGAAGAACATACAGAATCCTAGGAAAGGGGGGTTGGGTGTGGCTCAGTGGTAGAGCATGCGCCTAGCATGTGTGTAGCCCTAAGTCCCTCCCCAGCCTTACACTCACACTCCTAGGAAGGATGAGCTATAATACAGCAGGAATACAGTGCCTTTAGTGTGAGACCTACTAGGGGTGGAATTCTGGTTTTGCTACCTACCATTTTGGGACTTTAGTAGGTCTCTTCCACATCAAATTCTCTCTCTCTCTCTCTCTCTCTCTCTCTCTCTCTCTCTCTCACCAAACAAGCATACAAGCAAAAACAGAAAAACCAGCTGCTCGTCTAAGGCAATACATCTAACAACACCCAGTGCTAGCACCAGGATTCACATTCTGGTCCTGGAACTTTGAGCCCTGGATTCTACCCTGGGTCCATGACCTTTTAGAGAAACTGAAAGTCAGGGCCTGTTTGGTTCCACAGCTCCAGAACTGCACACTAAAACCATTCTGCAGAGCCTGCCACTTGCTCATCTGCTTCCATCCTGAAACTAACAGCACATCATCATCTCTCTAGGCTGGGTCTTCTACTCAAAAGACTATTGATTAGTTGCGCTTCATAACAAGTCATCCCAATATGAGGTCACCTCGAAAAAGTCTTTTATCTTGTTCAGAGTCTGTGGGTCAGCTGGGTGGTATTTTTCAGTCTGAGCCAGGGCAGCCATATTGGTTTTTTTTCCCACTTTTATTAGTACATGTCTGCAGTACATCATGATTACATTCACTATAGGAGGGGCCAGGGACACAGCTCAGTGGCACAAGCACCTGCCTGGCAAGCACAAGGTCTTGAGTTCGATTCCTGGTACCAAAAAAAAAAAAAGTGTCACATTTACTATAGGAGATCAGAACATGTACATAACATTTCAATTCCTTACACACACACACACACACACACACACACACACACACACACCATGCCACCCTTCTTTTATTTTTCCAGCATCAGATTCATTTACTTATAAGACCTTACAAATTATCATATGTACAGATTGCAAACAAAATAGTTCAAAGAACATATAAAACATTTAAGAATTGTATTAAGTCAAAGTGCACTTTTAGATACATTGTCTGATCTGGATGACTGTACTTTTGTTCTCTTTTATCCCCATTATCTATTTTATACTGAATATATAGTTTCTCATGTAAGAGAAATCATGTAGGGGCTGGGGAGATGGTTCAGTGCAATAAGCACTTGCCCAGCAAGCGCAATGGCCTGAGTTCAATCCCTGGTTCCACCAAAAAGAGAGAGAGAGAGAGAGAGAGAGAGACCATGTCATATGTACGCTTGTCTGAGTGACTTCACTTTATGGCCTCCAGGTGTATCCATTCGCCTATGAATGACTCAAGTTGATCCTTTTATGGCAGAGGAATGCTCCCATCATATGTAAACACATTTTTAATTCATTCATCTGTTGGTGGACATACAAGCCATTTCCAAGATGTAGCTATTATGAATTGTGCTACTGTAAACATGAGTACACGTACATCACTGTGATATGATGTCTTTAACTCTTTTGGGGAGGTTTCACCTAAAAGAGGAATAGCTGGGACAAGTGGAATTTCTACTAAGAGGTTGTACTGTTGGTTTTTTGGTT